TCGCTACGACGACGACGCCAAGGGACTGACCGGGCTGTCTGAGCGTGATGTGAGTATAACTCGCGGCGGGACAACTATGTGGCGCTGTACCGGTTCACGGTAAAAAGAATGTCTTGAAATCCCAGGAAATTTCTGGGATTTCAAGGTTGGGTGGATGATTTCAAGATTGGCCCTTGAAATCCCAGACTCTGTCTTGAAACATGTAGCTTCCAAGGGAAATCCTTGGAATTTTCGTCTGGGATTCAAGGATTTTCCTTGAAGTACCCAGATCGTGCCTCAAGGAAAACCCTTGAATACCAGACAAAACTTCCAAGGATTTCCCTTGGAAGCTACGGGTTTCAAGACAGAGTCGGGGATTTCAAGGCCCAATCTTGAAATTATCCACCCGACCTTGAAATCCAAGACATTTCCTCGGATTTCAAGACACTCTTTTTACCGTGTTGGCTTATGGTCCCCGCGCCCTTTTGTACCTGTTTGTACTTTTACTGTACCGCGTCCAGGCGTGTGGACGGGTTGCCTATCCGATCGGGGCCGTCAGGCGCCCTCGTCAGCGACGATAGGCAAACCCGCGCGCAACCTGCGTACTGTAATTAGTACAAAAGTATCCGCGGGGTTTGACCACAATGTGGTCACGCTCTGGGATTTTTAGACCCCCGATGTAGTTGCACTGCGCTGAATGAAGGGGGAAGGAAATGGCGGAAGCTGTTCCTTATACCGCGTTCTACAATTTCTTCTGACAGGTGCAGCTGTGGCGGGACATGACGCTGCAGATGCTGCAGCAAGTGCTGCGCGCGGCCAACGAGGACTTCGGGCCCATTTACCATCACAAGAGGAACTCGGAGATCCTCACCTCGCTGCTCGGAATCACCCCAAAAATCGCGGCCGCTGGTCGCAAGTAACTCAGCTGCACCTTTATTTATTGTGACTCCTTGAGTGGGGTCGTTACCGGTTTTGACGAGACTGTTGCTACACAATAATTTTCTTAATGGAAATATAATCAGCTTCATTGTAGAAGTGGTACAGAATTACGGATTACGTTATATGGATTACCCATTAACAACAGGTTTCTTATTGTCTTCTTCTCTTTCAAATTTAAATTGTGATGTGTGTTTTGCAAGGATGATCAGATGCCAAATAAATAGAGAGGATGTCTGGAATCTTTAATATTTTATTTCACACTCAGACAGGACAACATTTTCTCTTATCACTAAAATTTATCAAGTGCTAATGTTTGATATGCTTGTGAATCTGCCTGAATTGCTTGAACTAGGAAAACAAAAAAGTCTTTTAACAGTTTGCCTTTCATAAATAAGAACTCTCAAATGAGGGAAACAACTATAACTAAACTATGTCCATAGAAAATGACATCTACAATTGCAAGCTGATGACGATTGGACAAAACATAAAAACACAAACTATATAAAATAGAATTAAATTTGGTGTCCAATAACAAAAAGAAATGACAATAAAAGATGTTGAATATGTATACATAGTAATCTAATATTAGTGCATTCATTTAATTAAATAAGTGGTAATCAACCTTAATACAGTCTGTTTAACAATTACCAGTACTATTTTAATGAGGCATTGAGGTATGTCTGTTATGAGGTATTGTGGTTGGTATGTATGGCAAAATTCTCATTAAAAAAATAGGTCCGCTTTGGGAATCCCTCAACAATAGAGGAGAGGTGAGGGAAACACAGAATAAATAAGGCAACAGGGGGTTCAGTTCATGCAGATGAAGATGACATTGATAAAGGTGTCATCAGGATAAACATTTGTCCAACATGTCTCAGCACTATGACTTACATAATATTTCTAACATGTAATCACCATTCCATAACACAACAGCTATGATTCAACATGCAGAAGGAGTGAAAACAATTAACATATTTTGTATCTTCCATGGCTTTTGTAAAAGCAAACAGGAAGGACAATGTCAGCTGACTGACACTGCACGAAAACCCGTGTCTCTGAATTCACACACAAAACTATTACAATAATGATAAAAACAGTTGTAATAATACACAAGCCCCTGAGATTTTTCCTGAGCATCATCATACACTGGATGAAAATAAAAAGAGAAAACAAACAAAGTCACCCGTTTGTTACAGTATAACAAGTACATGATCATGGAAACTGAGTTCATCATTCAGAAGATGAAGAAAGATCACAACCATTGTAACTGATAAAACCATCCAGTTATAACTGAATCTATAAATACTCATAACATTATGCTATTGTGAACAAATTTTGTAGTATTAACAACTTCATACACATTTGTGTCCATAAATATGATCATAAGGACAACAATGCTCATGAGCCCTCAATCCATGCTTACTAAGATTCAACATAATATCCTGAGACAATTAATAAACGAAAAGTACAAAATATGTACTTCCCCAAATGTAAAACGGGATCGTAAGAGACATGTCAACTTGTCAACCGATAAATGAAAGCGATCTAAAGTAGCAAACACACATATTTACACCCCCACAGAAAAACATTTACCTACAGGACACAGGTGCCAAAGTGTGTGAGTTTCAGAGGCAGATAAGATGATATGAAGAAAGGCAATCACTCCTTTAAAAGCAAGAGGACACAGCACAATATGTTTTTGAGAAAGGATACGAGACAAACCAGATCAAAGATTAGAAACCACAAGTAGGCAGGTGCAGAATGAATCTCTCACCTCTTACTCCATGGTCTTCTAGAAAGCATTAGGTAGCACTTAGGAATCAACTCCATCTGAGCTGCCCTGAGTGAGGAATGCTTTGTTAAAATCTTGAGTGGTGATTAATTGAAGGTTGTGATTCAAATTTTAAAAAAATGGAAAAAAAAAAAGAAAGCCTCACCTATAAAATAGCAGCTGAATAATTAGATATCTACAGCTCAAATGAAATAAAAGCTAAATTACAAGGACAAACTGGTCTGGATTGTAAACACTAATATAATCCCTCGATGTCATTATGAGACTTGTTCGCAATATGACCTAATAAAAACTGAGAACAGACATTTCAGGCAATTAGGTAGTCTACTTCAGAAGAAGCTTTAGGTCATGAAAGGAGATATTTCATCAATTGAACAAGGGATATATTCATCGGTTCCATGTGGTATAATGACACTGATAACAGTGTTTGTGTCAGATAGAAGTTGTACAATAGTGTTCACTCCAGACCTGCCATTCCAAACAAAATAAAAGAAAACAGCCTTAACTCATCAAAAGTCTTGATCTCAAGAAACACACAAAAAAGAAAGAAGAAGAAGCAGCCTAACAAAATAGCAGCAATTTTGGCGATATTATTGCAACGTAATAGCAACAAATCTTCAAAAAAAAGCCAACACGTCTTTAAAAGACTAAAACAAATGCATTAACAGAATATAAGGGAAAAAAAGGGAGAACATGGTCAAGTCCAAAAAGCCATTTCACAATCATTATGGGGCTCAACACAAATATAAATAATCATGCATCTTTGGTACATAATCACTAATAATATTAAATAATTAGATGTCTAAATTAAGTCAATTAATTTATGAGTGATCAGTTCTTTTCAGTCAAATTAACAAATATTTAAATTTTATTGGGTTTTTTTCTTTTTGCTTTAATGTAACAGTCTTTGCTCAATAAAATGTATTTTGGAGCATTGTAAGGACACCATTAGATGCCACACCTGAAGAAGCAAGAACCCACATAGGGTTTTTTCAAAATTGAAGAGGATATTACAATGCTGTGATATTAAAAGATTGTTTCAATAGGCTGGTTGTCTTTGACCGTAAGTGCTTACAACTGAGAAAAAGAAGCAAACAAACGAAATTATTTAAAAAAAAAACTACAACAAAGTTAAATACTTAACATAAGAGTTCAATGAAATAAACGTGATAATGACAACAAAAAAGGTGAGTGTAGATTCACAGACAGTATGGAGGTAATCACATCAGGCTTAAGAGAATAAATAAAAGATAGAACCAAACTTCATCACATAAATTTTGCGTGACTATTTTGAATCTTCAGTTTGAAAAATAAATCTTCAGAACCATAGAAGGAGTCTGGAGAAGAAGAGGGAAGACCCTAATCTACAGTTGTAGATAGATTTAATAACTGTGATGCAAACAGTGAAGAGCCTGCTGAATACAAACAATCTGAGCTGAATTTCATTGAGAAGTACCAAATTCCACAAAGGCCACCTGTGCAGGTATTACAGAAAACGAAGAATAGAAAAACTATGCAGAAGCATATTATGTGTCCGAGTGCTTCACTGACAACTGCTATGGAGGAGAAGTGTCCTGTCGAGCCCTCTCTTATCAAAACGTCAATGGTCATACATTGATATGAAATGATATAGACGATATATAACATTTTAAATATAATTTGATGTGCATTTCATTTCTGATCGAGCAAATGTGTTAATCATCTATGTACATTTGTACAGCATATTCACAAGGGTTTTGCCTACAGCAAGTACTATGTACAATCATAAATGATAATATGACTGATGTTATGTGACTGATTATGTACACATGAAAAACAACTAAATGACAATAGGTACAGTCACGATACATTGGCACAGATTTGTGAAAAAGGGATATGTAAATTAACTACTACCCATGCCCCAAAAAGACATGCGGAATTTTGACATGAAATTTGGCAGTTTGCACAGCATTTTTGATAGAAATCCCACTTTTCTTTCCAAACAACAAAAAAATAGAGGTATATGAGTATATATATTTATAATAAAGATATTTCCATTTCGTACAAGTAAAGAAAAGATCACATCTTTTAAACAAATTACTTCCAATAATCACAGAGCCCTGCATTTTCATACCTTCATTCATCTACATTACTGTCATCACATGTGGAGTCAATCAAAAACAAGGAATATCATCAAATAAGAACCTAAGATCTTACTGGACCAAACATTCTGTTGCTCACCTATAACACTTGATAGGTGTCGAAATAATAATAAAAAAAAACTAACACACAGATAAATCAGACAAATTTTTAAAGAACATTGAAACAGATGCAATAACATCTCATATAAACAACTCTACCTCAGAGAGGTCTGGTGATAATACCTCTACAATCACAGTGCATACTGTCAGAAACAGAAAATAAATTTAAATCCCTGGGCTACATTTTAAAAGCACATCTGTGCCATCAAACTATAAAAACACATAACTTAAAACAATAGTGAATTAAAGAAGTAGATAATAATAATAGCAATAATAGTAGTAGTAATACCAAACTATAGATAACTTGTTTAAAGGATAACTTATACATAACTTTATGATTGCCTCCATATGTGTGACAAATTCTTACACAAAGCTTTCAAAGATCTCTATATGCACATATTAACAAATCTACACTAATGAGACACTGTCTGACAGTTCATCTCTTTTTCTTTCTCTTATTAAGGAGAAACATAAAGTTAATCCCTTTACAGAGTTGTGATGAAGATGCTTTAAACACTTAACATTCAAACATACCCGATAGTGCCTATCAATTAAAAAATAGACATTCTCACAGTTTGTACTCAGAATAAAGACTTCCTCAATGATAAAGGAAAAACATCTGACTAATTATGATAATCCTACAAATGGCGCAATTGTCAAGAAATTTGAGTCTCAACAATATTGAGAGCAAAATAACCCCATCTGTACGATAATAAGTGAAGAATACTCTATGTTAGAGTTTCACATTTTCACAAAGAAATTAGGTAAAAATATATATTGAAATATTCAAGATCACACCTTTGACAAACATGGAACGGGGAACCTTTTTTATATGTGGTGGATACCATCAAAATTTGAATTGACAGTCTACTCCTTCGATTAGGGAACAAAATAATGCAGATTAGAATTACTGAAGTAATGAGAGCAATATGGTGATTAACTCACCAACTACATCAAAAATAATGTTCCAAGGACTATTAAAAGTAACATCAATACATTGGAAATAGAATGATTACTAGACAATGGAAGATAAACTTTACACATAAAGAATGCTATAACTTTCAACTACTGACTGACCTTAAATCAGTATCAGTATAATGTAAGTGTCTAACACATATGTCTTGGTTCCATGACAATGAGGTAGAACAATGGTTTGGAGACCCATAAAATCTCCAAGCAATCAACAAACCAGCATAAGTAAAAAACCATTTCACATTAAGAAAAAACTGCAAAAAATGTAGTACAAACTATTGACCCGTACTATGGTTAAAACTATTGATAAAAATACCCGGTTTATTGTATTGTACACTGAAGCTTTCAGATTCAGGAGAGATTATATCACTGCAATTGAGATATGTCTGATATGGAAAAGTTTTAAACTCAAAGTTCTGATCTTTTGTATGAAGAAAATCAAGTTTCAACAACTGATATGTTGTGACCAAAAAAATTTATTCCCTCCTAAATAGCCATTGTTTATTGCGCAAGAAGATTAGCACCAATATTTGTGAGCGGCAGAGAACAAACCTCACAGTTAACATTAACAAGATGGTGCCCTCCCACTAATATTGTGCAGTAACTTAATTTTGTCCTTTTATCTTGAAAAGCTTTAGTATTGCAATATATCTCTGTAACAAATGTTTCATGATGTCTAATGACTGCTGCTGGCGCTGTCAGTAGAGTGCCTGACTGTGTCATGTTTCTTTCAAAAAATATTAAACACATTAATTAAAAATGGAAGGTTTGTTTATCTACACACTGAACTGGACAGAATATGTTGTCCTGAAACAATGTTAACACAGCTATTTTTAAGTAACCCAGATTTCTTGTTCCCATCAACAACACATTCACATTATTACTGAATGTTCCAACTAACAGAATTCTTTTAAAAAGAACCACGATCAAAACATCTTCACTTAACTCACTGGGACATACGTCCTCCTTCAGATTCCTTCAGTCCTTTTCATATCTTCATTCTGGTAGCAACTTGTCATATCACCACACAACATTCACCCAACAAAGAACACCAATATTTTCATCGTCAATACATGGAGCAAATGTTGTTTCATTAAAATGGTTACTGAGGTTGAGGCTGCCCAAGAGCACCAGGGACAGCAACACTCTTCATAAGACGCTTTAACATTCCAGCACTACCTCGGTGCTGCAACGACTTGTGAGTGGTGAGGCTATTCTTGGTGCGGTAACTTCGTTGACAGAACTCACACTTGTATAAAGTGTCAGATCTCTCATGTTTGTCTTGGAAATGCCGCTTGAGACTGTAGTAACACGAGAAAGTACGACGGCAGAATGGACACTCTTGAGGATCATTGATTCCACCAGTCATAGGAGGTGGAACACCATACGTCCAATTATTCATACCTGCGACAAAAAAAGAGGATTGCCAATTACTCAACTAGAAACAAAACTTTATCATTGCCACCAAGCTAGTTGAATGGAAAAGAGAATAGAACATTATGAAAAGACAATTGATAAAGGGAGTTGAGAAAGAAAAAAAAAAAGAGCCAAAGATAATTTGATAGATATCATTTCAACACTACACCATTCCCATCATAGAGAATAGGTTGAGTCCAGATAAAGGAACAAAACCACTGTTTAAGCGTTTAGCAACACCAAAAATTAGCATCTGATCAGAGGGACATGCTCTTGGAGAACCAAATTTTAGGCACAACATATCTGACGATAAGCTGAGACCATGATTAGTAGTTTTTAAATTAGTGAATTAATCAAAAACACAGAAATGCAGGTGACGGACAAAAAGAATACTGACATATTGAGCATGTTGAGGAAGTTCTCCACACAAACTAATTCATAAATGCCATTTCATCATTTTAGAATTTAAAAACTAAATAGTGTTTTTTAAGCGAATACTATTAAGAGAAAGTTAGAGAGTGATCTGTCCCCATACCCACAAATCCACAATAGGCTCTTGAAAATCCAGGAGTGTGACAAGTGCAAATGCCTCTCTCCATTTAACACATGCAAGCCTTCACCAAAGGAATAACATTTCCACCAACAATAAATAAAAAAAATAAAAAAACATTTCCTGGGTTTCTGTGGATCATGGAAGATTTATCATATTTTATTCCACAACCATTTGAGATACCCCATAGTGCTAGCTTATACTCTATTTTGGAATCAACTGGCATGCAATCCTTCCAAAACACAATGGTGGGCAAGTCTACTTTAAGTGATCAACATTTCTTTTCCCACAGTAATTGCACCCTCATCCAAGCAATGTTTCACATTTTTAAAGAAGAAAAAAGAAATATGGAGGAAAAATGATATTGTACTATTAGATCACTTATTGCTGGACCAAACTTACATTACTGAAACAAATGAGGAAAGAAAACAATGTCTTTAGTAATATAAGTTCTAATAACAGCAGGTATTAAGTTTGACATGAATGGGCAACCTCCAAACATATCTCTTTAACAGTTTTGAAAAATTTTCATGCATGAATACTACATACTCTTCAACCTATAGTAGTAAAAATAATGATAAAATAAAACCCTTCCATGAAATTTAACCAATGGCATGAAATGCATGTTGGTGGTACGAAGGCAGACATTTTTGACCATTTGACCACATTCATCTAATTTGCCCATGGAAACCACAAAAAAAGAGGGGGGGAAAAGTCTTTAACATAGCTTGCACCAGCACAGAACGAGAGAAGAGACAAAGTATGGTCAAATTCATAGTTTTAGACCTAAGTTACAAATGGACATTGAAACATGCACATAAGCTGAAAGGACACCCTTAAAAAGCCATAACCATAATTGATGTGAATTAACACACGCTTTAGCACGTGTGACTTACATGGAAGAGAGGCTATTGTGAGATGTACAAAATAAGTTAGCCTGATAGAAGCCACTACCAAAAACCACCACAACAGGACACAGGGGAGATAGGATAAATTTGTAGAGAAATCAGAAAGTCAACTAACCCAGTACCTGCGCCAATGGAGCGCCTCTTAGTTGGGGTATAGTCCTGCAGTCCAATATGGTGATGATTTGAAGGGTGAAGTGTTGTGTGTAATGCAATGTGCATATGTATTATGTCTGAGGCACAAACACCAGCGACAATGTTCTCATACGAGAGATGTAAAAAACCTAACAAATTAAATTTCTTTACAATCTTTCATTTGACTATGATTTGGACCAGTAAAAACAAAGAAAAGGTAAGAATGTAAGAAAGAAAATTGTGAAGATGAGATAATAGATATTTTCGCACACAATAGATTTGATCTAAAAATGCTTAGTGAATGGTATGAAAATTTAAGGTTTAAGCAATTTATAAAATACATTTAGCTCTAAATTTACAAATCTTCCTAATAAATACACCTAATCCAGTCTATTATTGATCATTGAGAACTTTTCAGTTCTATGAAGTCTTTGAAGATACATACTAAATCAACATTTAAATTGAATAGAATAACAAAGCATTGCAGAAAGAAACTAAATAAAATTAGACAAGGGTGGTCTTGTTAACCACATGTTTCTTTAAGAAAATGGAGGAAACTGGAAGACTTGGGGAATTTGGAAGGCATTAAAACGGGAGAAATTGTTTGGAACAAATCGTCGTCGACGGTGTTTGTGCAGTGTATCTCAGTACATGCTTTGGTACTGGAATTTGAGATCAAGTTCATTAGCTCCTGGTCGAGATTTGTGGTAAGTGTATATGTGAGTCATGAGTGAATTGCGTGAGCAGTACACGCGCTCACACACCACGCAGCGGTACTCTTCCTGTCTCTGTGCATGCTTGTCCGCAATGTGACGCTTGAGACTAGCTTTGGAACACAGCACTTTCCCGCAGCGCTGACACGTGAACACTTTCTTCAAACCCCCCGTTCCTGTAAGATAAAAAACAAAGAAAAAAAAAGAAAAAACATTAATTCGAGGGTGAAGTGAAAAGGAAAGGAAACCTTACCTCCTGAGGTAAAACAAGACACACTATGTGCATTAAAGGTTCTGAGCAATACATGCTAATTCAGTTTCCAGCCCCAGTACGCAATGTGGCTTATTTAATTAGAAGTAATAGTTGTAAGAACTTCATAATTTAAGCACAATAAGAGTAAGAAAGAATTTATGATTTCTTTTTTATGCCCTACCACACCTATTTGATCAGACCATAAATCATGAGGTAAAATGGAAAATAACATCTCAAAACCAGCATGGCAAGAGATGATTTTCTTAAAACAGGATGTGAACATAGAATTTCACAGCCAAAACACAGATAGGTCAGTAACCTATCTTACATGAAGAGAATAAGCTATGTGTAATAGAAATTGAACTCGTGCGTTTTCTGGACTTGTGTCCCTTTCCTAGTGTGGAATGTCCAGTCCAGATCCAGCTCTGTCATGAAGAAAGATATACTAAAATATGGAATGCACTTAAACAGCATCACATTAATGTGAAACAAACGTGAGGTCACTTCACCCTTGAATTCAAATAAAACAAATAAAACTCAAAATAAATGAAATAAAATGAAAGACCCTCTTTGTTGCAAATCTACAGTCCTACCAAGCAAATAAAAAAAAAAATATTGAAATAAAAGCAAGAAGAAATGAAAGAAATCACATGAGTAGTATTTGGAGTGTATCAATGTGAAAACAATCTTCAAAGATTGATAGCAAAGTCACTGAAGAAGCTCTGACAATGATTCAGTTCTTTGCATGCAACTAAGCAGAGAAAATTCCACTCAACAGAGTAATGAGATGTGCAAAGAGACCAAAAGGTACACTTCAGAGTTCGCAGGTACCACATGAGTGTATGAGTTGAAAATCATGGAGCGAAGTTTGGTGTGGGTTGGGTAAAGAAGAAAATTCAAGTAAGATGGTTAGTCATAGTACAGTAGAGTAGATGCCTTACACAGGCAGAGTCATAGGATTCGAAGGTGTTATAAAAATTCAATCGGAATAAAGATATGGAAACATTTCTCGAGTTATCATTCTCAATTAAACACTAAAATTATGAATTGAATACACCAACACATGATATCTTCACAAAAAATAGGAAAACTAACAAAGAAGTGCTATTCACCTAATTTTGATAATTAATTTTCCTCTCACTGGGTGGTTGAATGCTGAATAGCTAAATGTACTGCTTTGCACTGTGTTGTGACTTAGGACACATTGTAGTTGGACAAGGTAGGATTTAACAAATATCCATTGATTGTTGATTAAGGAAATGAAACCACCACCTTGAGGTAAGCAAGGTTAACTAGCTAAAAACATGTGTATAACAAAGAGTGGGATTTAAGTGAAGTGTTGGGATCTCAAACCATGTAACAGTGTTAGATAAAAATTATGATGAGGACAGCACCCAAAAACTTATTGAATAAATCTCTCAAAAAAAATAAAGTACACAGTTACTGTATTCACCTGAGTTTAAGACCCCTCCCCCCCCCCAAAAAAACACCAAAAAACCAAAAACAACAACATTATTTTAGTGGTAAAAGCCCCTAGAGCCCCCAAGTACTTCTAAAGGGTTGGTAGTGGTATGTGTGCTTGGGGATCCCCGCTCGGCTAAATCCATGCACATGAAACCCCTTCCTTAATTTGGACACAACTTTTGAAGGGAAAAGGGGGGTCTGGTACTCAGGTAAATATAGTAAACCTTTCTGATTTGTCAAACATCAGGGACAGAAGATAGAAAAATTAATTTGGCATACCTCAATGGTCACACATGATGCACACAGAGGGCATTAGAAAACTGTTCATGGGATAAATGGATACAAAATATGTAGAAGTATCAACATTATGACATTTATTTAAACAACCAACAGGCACATTTCCCAACCACACCTTCCCACAAACTTACTAATTGGCGTTCAAATGGACACAGCCCAAATATCAATGCATCTGCTCTTATCAGTAAGTCAGATCTCTCCTACACTCCAGAGTCAAAAAATGAATTTCACGTCATTTTAATGAACATCAACAAAACTCTGTGAAGAAAAATAATCGGCCATTATTCGTATGGCTCAATATAGCTTTTAACACATAAAATAACAATTAGATTGCAAGGACCGTCACAGAAAATTCTACACCGTAATTAAGTAGAGGAACTTACAGGTGCCTTGTTGGGAAGACCACAATTATTTTTATTACTTTTTTCAAGAGAGTGATATGGATGTCAAGCTTTAAATCATTTTATTACAATGAGACTAAAGGAAAGGAAATGGATTCTCCTTACTCAGAAACTCAAATGACATGTCAAATGAAAACCACAGCATTAGAATTGCATGTCAATGTAAAAAAAAGTACTTCTTTAAGAGAGCTGAAGTGTTCAATACGAGCACAACACCATGATCTCTTGTGCTTTATTAAGGCTACATAACCCTGCTAAAAAACTTTAACTACTTCCACCAAGTAAAAGAAACCCCTTTACAAACCAATAATAATTATAGTGAATAACCATAAAAATAAAAGTAATAATAAAAGAATAGAATAATAATTATAGATATTGTAATAATAAATTAATACACAACCTGATAGGACAATAACTTTAAAGCATTCACAGTTAATTCTATCACAAGACGAATTATGGAAAAAGCACAGATAAGGCTAGTATTATTTGAACCCTGTGTGGTATGTGTAGCCCTAAGATAGTCAGTATCTTGCTTGGAATGTCATTGAGCTTGAATCTCTCAAATTTCCTTTGTTTGAACCAATTGACTGCACAAGATTTTATAGAAGTAATTCTATTTCTTTTTCTGTTTAAAAATAACTGGTCAGAGACAACTTTAAGTAATCACCACATCCCAATAGTTCGTAGCACAATGAGGTTCAAACATGAGTAATGTATTCCAATAACTGCCCCAAACTATGCTGCCAACACACATTTAACTGAGGTAGAGAAAGTTCAACTAACTTGTTCACATAAACAAAGACTGAGCAAGATTTGGACTCTAGCTTCACAAAACAATGATCCAGCTCTTGCTCTAGTCCCAATTTATGGCCATACACAATGCACCTTCCATATTACTTTGCATGCACGATTTTGCAACCAACAAAGGGTTGGATCTTATTTGGTTAAACTTCTACAACAAACCCTTCAGACACAATTTGGCATCAACAATCATTTGGGCAAATCAGAAATGACTAGAAGGATGACACAAATAACACTCCAATATCCTAAGTGAATTATGTCATCATAAGATAAAATATTTACCTGAGGCTCAAATACATGAAAATTTAACTGAATTAAAAAATATAAGCAATGAACAATGCACTTAAGAGCTTTGTTAGAACATTACCTTCACCATATTATGATGTCAAGAAAAAATAAAAGTAATTATCAAGAAATCAACAGGATGACCCTGAAATGATTTTTTTCCCACATTGCAAACATCAAGATTCTTTGCAAGGGGCTTGTATTTGTGCGAATGATGTGTACAGGCATGCATTTTAAAAAAGCATCAATGATAATGACAAAAGAATGAATTCTTAACCTACACTATAAAAGATTGTATAGAAGCCTTAATCCTCTCCTTTGAAGAAAGTATTTCACTTTCATCTTACACACATAATTGTGTTTTCATTTTCTTTAAAGCACTTGCTGAGCACTTGCTGAAGCATAATGCAATACCCGTAAAAGAAACTTTCATGAGAAAAATAAAATACAATTGCAATAACATATTTCTTGTTCTATAAATGACAAGTGTGCAAATTACACAACAGAGACAATATTTAAAAAAAATACATACGCCAAGATTGCGAAATCCAAATAAAAAACGCTTTTGTCATCAACTTGTCCTATGCAAACTAAAAACTTTTTTAGCTTTCATCTGTGAAGAAAATCTACAAGATCTCTTGAAAAGTTGATAAAGTACATGGCTCACCAATTTTCAGCTTATACTTAAAAAACTAAAATGAAAACAGAAGAAAACTAGCTAAATGAGAAGATAAGAAAATAACAGTACTAACTGTGAGAAAATCAAATCGGTATCTTTAAAGCAATGCTTGCTGCAAGATAACAGACAAGAATATTTTTAATGATAACTGTACACATCAAATGATAGTTATGTCTAAATAATGAGTTTGAGATTGTTTTGTTTTTGTTTTCAGAGGGAAAGAGGTAAAAACTAGTCCACAATTTTTGGGGAATGCAGCGGCAAGCAATGAAATATCATTTTCAGAATTGATTGATTGATTTGAAGAGAATGTTTTGCCTTTTCCTGTAATCTGCCAGTTACACTGGACTTTCCACACCCCACCCGAGGGTTGCCCACTCAAAAAAAGAATACGTTGAAACATAAAACACATCTGCCTTCAAAGAGTTCTGCTAGAGCAGAAGTCACACAACCAAAGTCAAAAGTGGTTTGCTGAAGACAAACTCAAAATGTAGCCCACCAATCCAGCATCAAAATTTAACATCATTCAGTCTTTCAAACACACTATATCAAAACAACACAACAATAAACTATACACCCCAGATTATAACATTCTTACTATCCAGAAGCTGCGGACGGATGAAACGGTTTCAAAATGAAATAACAAAAATGTAACAAAAATAACAACTGTACACTTTGAGCTACGTTATCTGGTCTATCAAACAGGTGTTGATACAACTTTATAATTCGTTATTAAAATTTATTAGAAGTGTGTGCTGTGAACTAAAACTGCATTGGTGGTCAAATGTTTGTTTTGGAATACGAACACCACAAACCTTAACTGTTTAAAAAAGATAACAGAAAGAGAGAATGCTGCACCCAATACATTTTTTTTCATCTACCATCTGAAGTCAAGAGAAAGTATTTGGAACCTATTTATAAATCACAAGTAGTATATATTCATTATGCAAACCTAGATGCATATCATTAGACATTCCTAACTGAAGTTTGAGAATAATGTATAAAATAGCCTATGTTTATATTACTGAGATTTAAAATAAATTAAATGCAAATTTCACAAAAGAAGGATTTAGTCACAGAACCCTCTGATATTACCCATTTGCAATCTAAATGCTTATAAAACAGATGAACATTGGGTAGAAAATTAATAGATTAAGAGGGTTAAAATTTTGAGATTCAGACCAACAAGTTGGCAAAGGTGTGACTTACTGTATTCATCATGACTGGAAATAACACATCAAACCAAGTTTGATTCGACCCAAGAAATTAATGCATGAGCCAGCTCACTCAAAAATAGAGGGACAATCTGAAAAACCTAGGTACAGTATGTGGTTGTAGCATCTTTAAATACTTCACTAGTAAATGTGATGTAAAAACATTATAACTTTGACAAGGAGTTATTAGCAATTCTTAACACAAAACTACTAGTTAAATAAAAGGATTGATAAACAAACATTGATTGCTACTCATTGATGCTTTTTTTTCTTACACACAACCATAAATTTACTGCTGCTCCGACTTAATCCCTTCATTTTCCCACATCCTAAGTTGTTTGTGCTTGCGAGCCAGCTCCGTCATGGCATCAGTCACTGTCATGTTGTCACTTGAAGATGGTAGATTATTGTTCAATGATCTTTCCTCTTCCATTGCACGGATTCCCGCTAGACCACCATGGTACTGAGATTTGTGACTCACAAGGGAGTTGCGTGAGCGATACATGCGGCCACAAACCTCACATTCAAAGCTTTGAGGTACATAGAAGTGTGTGTCCGACATGTGCCGATGCAATGACCAGGCTCTGGAGAACGACTTGCGGCAGATGGGGCAGAACGGCGTGGATCCGGACTTAGCGTCTCTCGAGTCCCCCCAACAGCCCCTCCCTTCGTGCTCTGCAACACGAGACACAAAGGAAGGGGCTGTACATAACCATAATTGAAAATAGAACTGGCCATCAAATTGAAACTTTTAACATAGACTACGTAAACTCAAGTTTTATAAAAGTTATCTTGAAATTAAAATATTTCTTTAGTTACTGTTTTGCTAATTGCATTTTAATTTTTGAAAAATCATGCTAATAAAATCAACAGCTAACTCATTTAAATCAAATAAGTTCCAACTTAAGGCCTTGATGACACAATAAACCCAACATTTAACAAATGTCAGTATATCATTTTGAAAAGAATAATAAAAAAACAAACTATGATTCAGTAAAGCCCCTTCCGCACAAACGCATTACAAGCATCAATTTAAAAAATCCTGCCAAATACTCATTCTGGTGGAATGAGGGTTGGCTGGACTTTTTTTATGAACAAAACATTCGACAATATGTTGGAATTGTAATGGCATGTCACAAAAAGTGACACATGCAAAATGCTGCTTTGCCATTTCCTACATACCAACATACACGATAATAAGTAAAGGTTACTTTGCCATTCCAACACCACAGTCACCAAACACCAATTTACCATCACCAGGAGTGAATTTATTAGAACATATAGAATATGCCAGGAATTAGAAATTCCCCTCTTATATAAAATAGTGGGCAGTTATCTCCAGTGAAAGAGGTAAATTAATCAACTAGTGCTATGATGCTCAGTATTGTCCTAGGCTATACACAAGATATACATTATTTAAGGTGCCTGTACTCTACATTACGTAGAAAAAGCACCACAAGTAAGTTATGACAGTAGGTCTAATGTCCTCCTTCGTTCACCACATTGCTTTCCATTCACTTCAAACCCCAACAGTTTTTTGTGCAATAAGAATCCTTTTGACTGGTATGTAATGTAAATCTTACAATGCATGTTTAAGAAGAGAGAAAAGATGTGGCTGAGAGGTATGTAGTTTGGGGATGATTGGGTTGAAGGTACAATTATTGTATGTGAACAACCATCTATGCTGTTTGGTTGGCGCATTCAACAGAAAAGGCACTAGGTGAGGTCACCTACCTGCCTTGCATGGTCTCTGGCTGGACTTCCACACTGTCACACACATTATTCCCCAAGCATGCTACATTTAAAAAAAAAAAAAACCCTTCTAATAGTAGTGCAACACAGTGCCAACTAGAAGTGTCTAGTTAAACTCTGTTCAAACAACACAATTTCCTAAAATTTTCCTCATTAAAATCTATTCAATAAAAACACAAGAATAGGCTGCTGAAGTATTTCTCAACCAACAAGGTATGACAAAAGCCAATTCCAAGTTGTGTCAAAATAAATAAAAACTGCATGCTAGACTGAGTAAACTGTTCTTTAACAAATGAGTTTGTGTAATTCAGATCGACTTAATCAAGCATTGCTTGAACTCACAGATACATAGTTTTAAAAAATAAATGGGGGGTGGGGGTAGGGTGGGGACTCAAAGCATACTAAATATATCAATTGAAGTCAGTTGATTGCTTACCTGGAGTTGAAGTACCCGCTAGCCCATCTGTAGTTGTTTGAAGGTTTTGAAGACCTGAAAAGAGAAGCATAAAATATGGTGAGACAGTTGAAATAAACAACACAACATTGAAATTAAGTACAAGATCTTTCATACACACCTGCCAAAGCGGTATCAGCAGCAAGAGCAGCCATACTAAAATTGAAGGAGCCTGCTGTAGCTGCAGCAAAAAGTTTACTTTCTACAGGTGAGAGAAACGGAGGATTATGATGGCTTTGTGCACTGCTATCCAGATCTTCATGTTCACCTGTTGACGAAGTTGATGGTGGTCCCTGAGGAGAAACAAAATACTTTCAAGTCAAATAAAGACACATACTTGAAGATTGACAAATTGATTGAAGTGGCTTTTGCAAACTAAACATTAAGTCAAATACATAGCAGCATTAGCTGAAGACAACTTGAACATCTTGTATATATAGAACTAGATTGGCTTGGATTTATTCCAGAAACTTTCCGTGTGGACTGTGTCCATTGTATGCAGGAAGAGGGAGGAGCAGTATTTATTATTGGGTATGCTGGCATGCAATCAACCAGGAACAGAAATCAAGAAGAAGATTGTATCATTTGGAAGCGGGGATATTGAAAAAAGAGATGAGTATGATCTTGAAAGGTATAATGATGTATGGTTAAAATGAATAGAGTGAATGAGAAGCATATTTTAGGATAAGCATTTGAGATGAAAAGCAAGCATCCACATCCACAACCAGAAGACATTAAGATGCAAATTAATAGAGAGGACTTTTAAATTGTGAGTCCATAGGAAAGCAGATAAAGTATGAGGAGGGTTTTTTTCCCAACAAGCTACACAAATGCAGTAAAACAAGATAGATGCCCATAAGCCAATGATGTTAATGAGGTAGTAAAAGCTACAGTGAAACCAAAAATTACTCAAATTCAAGGTTGACTTGGAAAGATTGGTTGAATGAATTTGAAGGACCAGAATAGAAAATTATTCATGAGTTTAAACTTCATTATAAAAGTTATTTTCTGGTTTCACTGTGATGAGAAAAGGGCAAAGGACACAGTCCTGGCCTACCCTATGGAGGCGTTCATGGTAAGCCTCGACGGAATCCGAGCTGTTTTCAGTCGCTCCAGCCAACATATCCGTAGGCTCCGCCTTCACCTTATCCATACGCGATGATGGTGATCTGGACTGCTCACTGTCTCTGTCCCTGTCCCTCTCTCGATCTCGATCCTCTCTCTTCACTTCGACTTTTCTAAACACACAAAGCAAAGCATTCAGAACAATTCTGTTTCCCTACAACATGTGAAAAATAGAAACAGGAGTTAAAATTAATGAAATACCTGTAGGAATTTTTGGCTGAAAAATCAGTGGGAGTTAATTGGTGATTTGTCAAGTCTGCAGGATTGGCATTGATATCAGTCTCACAAAGGCGGTCTTCTCGCTCCCATTCCCGATCTCTTTCCCTATCACGCTCTCGTTCTCGGTCCCATTCTCGGTCTAGATGACTATTAGTGATGGGTCCATTTTCACTGTTGTTATTAATTGATCTTGGACGTTTTGCTACAGGATGATCAACATCATTCTAAAAAAAGAGAAATATGGATTATACTCTGAAATCTTGTCATGGATTTGGAAGAAATGACAGTTCTAAAATATGTGTGTTCAATTATTCCCAATAATATACCTGGTCAGTTCCCAATGGGGGTGTTGGAATGCTATTGCGCTGTAGCCTCTTTGAGGCTTCAGCTACGGCCACAGCACGTCTCAACAACTGATTGACAGTAGCACTATTAGGTACACTTGAAGGAGTAGTTGTTGGAGTACTTCCGTTTGTTGGAGTACTACTGTGGGGTGAAGTTGGTACGGGAGATGTTGCTGTGGGAGGTGAACGCCCAGCAGGAGATAAATTGAATAATTGGTCTCCTCCTAAAGCACGTCCATTGGAGGATGCTAGTTGAGACAGTGGACTCTACAAATTAAGCAAATGTATTAATTGCATATAGTATCATGTAATCCTACACAAACTTTAAAAGAATCAATAAAAATGCATCTTTCTCTTACATCTTCTCGACCATCAGCCTGCTGTGTTAAACCACTGACTCTCAAAACTTCAGCCGTTTTCAGAAATGAAGTAAGGTTGCGTTGATGAACATTAACTTCCCCGTGGTAGATAAATTCCACAAGTGCATCCAAGTCAGCAAAAGCCACATCTTGTAGCACAATAACAGGATGCTTACATGGTGTGCTCTGAACATAACAAAGATTTTCCAATAGTACAATTAACTTAATATGATCATTGACAGTACAAGAAAAAGTGACGTAAAATAAATGTACCTTTAGTAATTCACGAAAGTAAGGGCTGCAGGCAGATAGTACTACCCGGTGGGCTTTCAGGCTCTTCCCATCACAGGCAATAGTCACATCAACAAAATCTTCATCATCTCGTAGGTTTTCAAATGCTGAGGTGATGCTACTCTGGTAGTTGTTCCACCGTAAACAAAAATGTTGGCTCTCCATTTTCTTGCAGTCCTATTGTGCCCAGCCTTCTGAAACACAGAAAAATAAGAAATGAAACATTACCACTTTGATAAAAAATATTGGCCATACACCTGAAAGAAACATTCAAAAATCCCTATGTACCCAGAATATGGCATAACAAAGTATAAAATTTAGAAAAACAATCTATTAACCACGACAACACAATTTTAATACGCTCAGCCGTTCTTAATGCACACAAAACAAAATCTTTCATCTCTGAAGTGAGGTAAGAAAACCATACTGGGTTACATTAGTGACGGACCAGTAAAAACGCACATTTGAAAAATTAAATTAATGGAAAAGTAAGACAAAGTATGATGTGTTGCACATGAAACAGCTTAGTCGTACTTAAATTAAAAGCCACTGTGGCGAAAATCAACTATAATTCAACGACATAACCTAAGTGGAGACACTTTCACTCTCTAGCTGACAGCGCCGCGAAACTGACAACACCTTTTCCATCTACTAAACGATAAGCTACGGTTGAACAGCTCAACCCAGCAGGAAACAAGACAGCCTTTGAAACGTACTCGAGCAAACCTAGTCCACCTCACGTAAAAACCCATGGTGATCACGTCAAACAAATATAGCGGGCGACAGGCTGTCAGTGTCAGTCTCGACGGTGCCGGCGCTCACACAACTACTAGACATACACAAAGCAGGCTCCGCAACATTACCTAGCGAAACTATGTCGGCACACATTTCCACACATCGTAAGAAGATACTAATCTGAATTTTACATTCTGACAAACACGATCTTACAGCCCGAAAGAAAATTGCTGCCGGGCGCAGCGCATAATTTTCCGCAGACAACTACATCCGTACTATCTCTCTCCTCGCAAATTTGAAAATACCGCTAAAACGCGGCAATGACAGTAGAAATCGCAATTAACAAAATCGCGCTAAAATCAAGACAGCACAGGGAAGACAGTTGCAAGTTCTGCGCGGGTCCCGTTCAGTCGTCTACACCGCGCTATCATTTTCGTTCTGCTGCAGCGCCACCCCAAAAAACATCAGCGAAAAAATGGCGTCGCGGGAAAAAAAGCAGCGCACACACTCCCCCTGTCCGAAGCATCCCCGGGGAGGATCCCGCTCCACCAGTACTAGCTCGGTAAAACTTGCGATCCTCGCGGCACTAAACCTTCGCCGACACAAACAGAGCAGCTTGTCTTCACGACGACGAAGGATTGCTTTCATAATTTTTTCCCCCAGTGGGACCTAGCTCACTGATTCACAACAAGCAACACTCGCGAAGATCCAAGATTTTTCCCGGTAAGTATTCCATCACCGCTGGCACGGCGGAGGTTCGTCCGGAGCACATCACATCACAGCACAGCACAACACAGCGCGGAGGTACCTCGCGGCTTGGGGCAGGCCAGGGCGCCAGGGCACAGAGGGACGGACAGGGGGAATCACACCGCTGCCGGTCGCAGCGCCAGCATTACCTCTCCGATTCCGAACGGAGCTCGACTGACGTGCTTATTCGACGACGGGAGGCACAATTTTAAAGTCCTAGCATTTTTTCTACGCACGTTCATTATCTGCGAAATGAAAACGACGGCGTATACATTGCGAATGCCAGCCGGGCGCTCAGTGGTGGGGGAAAGCCTCTCCGCTGCCGCTGCTGCGGGCGGCGAGGGGCGGCGCGGGGCGGCGAGGGGCGCGGGTGGGGCGGCGCGGGCGGGGAGGGGCGTGGCGGGGCGACTGCGCGGGGGGCGGGGCAGCCCTCCTCTCGGGTTCAGATTTTTCGGCTCGCGTCGTGGACCGGGTCGAGCCGCGGGGCCGGCGAGCGAGCGGGAGGACGGGCAGCAAGCACCTCGCGGAGGGCTAGGCGACAGGGCAGGACAGCACACACGCACACTGTCACACACTGACATACACTGACACACACACACACGCGCGGACAGAGGGCACACACACCGTGCAGGCCTCGGGCCCCGGCCTGCGCTGCGGGCGAGGCTAGGCGAGGCGCGGCGGGCGGCCGAGTCGCTGGTGGAGGTCTGCGCTCTGCTACGCTCTGCTCGCGACGCGTCGCGGGTGCGGGCCGGGCCTCTGGCGGCCTCAGGCCGGGCGGTGCGCGGCGCGGATCGGCGGCAGGCGCGGCCTGCCAGCGTTTGGCGGAGTGTGAGCCGGGCCAGGCCGGGCTGCCCTGTCCTGGCCCGTCCCAGCCCGCGGCCGCCGCCCGCCGGCCCGCGCCGGCCCGCCCGCCGCCCCGCCGGGCTCATGGCGTGGCCATGCAGACCCTCCGCGCTGAGCTCATGGAGGTGAGAGCTGCGCTGCCGCTGCTTCACGCGCTGCGCACGGCATACCGGCATACCTTGTGCCCCGTGAGCTGGTGTCGCCGACGCCACCCGCACCGCACAGCGGCGCCGTGCGCGCCGGGGGGCAGGACGACGAGAGCGAGCTGCTGCGCGCGCTGCGACACACACACTACACCCGGCTGAATACGACTGGGAAACAGAGCCACATTTTTGCATAGGTCTGTTGTGCGAGACCTCTGACGTAATATTTCAGAACTAAAAAAGAGGAGAGAAAGAAACGCTCTCTTTCTAGCGCGCGCGCGCGCGCGCTCTCTTGCCTCGCTCTTGCCTCGCCCTCGCCGCGCGCCGCCCTCGCTATGGTGCCGCGGCGGTGCCGAGAGCAGGCCGAGAGCCCCCTGGACCTCCCCGCTGCCGCAACAGTCTGGCCCGGCCGCACGCAGTCACGTGACGAACCAAGTCAGGCGACAGTGTCACGCCGTGACAACTACTTGAGACCTTTCCTGGTTTCGCCAGATTGGCAGTCAAGAAGTGACGATCACGCACCGCCAGCTACACCGCTTGCACACCCACACATATACACAACACACAGACTCACGTGTCACGATCGTCACGCCCTCGTCACGCCCTCGTCACGGCGCCGGTCGTGCGACTGGACCGCGCCCGCACTACAGTACTACTACCCCGCGAGCGGTAATGAACAGTCCCACCCCTCTCTCTCTCCCTGCCTTCTCAATTCGTTCCACGCACACCCACACACCCTCGCCCTCACACAGACACACTCACACAGAAAAATCATTACGATCTTCATCCGCACCCTCTGTTTTTTATTTTTTTTATTTCACAAACTGCGCATGGACCGAATTTTTAATTCCTTTCGCAGAATAAATACGCTTTGTGAATCAGCACTTTCCCCCCTCGCCTCTCGCCTGGCTTGCGGGGCGCGGGCGAGGCGGGCCGGGCCAGGCCGGGTCTCCCCGCGCGCCCAGGAGCAAGAGGAGAGGGAGGCGAAGGAGAGAGAGAGTGAGAGAAGAACGAGGGAGAGAGAGAATTGAAACAATCAATACTGCGACGAAAAAATATAAAGCAAGTTTATGAACATCCCTTTTCCGGCAATCAGGGCTACGGCACATGCTACGCTAGAGCAGGGGGCTCCAAACAAGGAGGCGTCCCCACCACGCGGCTTAGAGGACGAGGGGAGGGGAAGGCCAGGGCCCCGCGCGGGGCGCCCCGGAGGCGTGCTCCAGGGGCGCGCTCCGCGACCACGGCGCCCCGCGGATGAGGCGGCTCCGGGGCTCCAGGTGTACATACGCGAGGGGGGCACGTCCAAGGAGTCCATTTCCATGCGACCTTAACCCCCCCCCCTTTTTCTCCTGAATCCCGACGGGTTCCCTTGGAGCACCGCGACGGGTGCGCCGTTGGTCGGCCTGGAGGGTACGACCTGGGCCAGCCCATAGGGCGCGCGTAGGGCCGGCGGGGCCAAGCCCCACCAGCGACACCAGCATGTATATGTACGCACACATCTTTGCAAGCGGCAGCCTCGTCAGCGCCACGCAGCGCCGCCCGGCCCGAGCTCGAGCGCCCTCCCCTCAAATCTCGCTTACCCCCTCCACCGAGCAGCGAACCCCCTCCCCTCCATACCTTGCTCGCACTTGCCCTCTCTCGTCACCCACTCTTTTATTTTTTCTCTCCCTTCCTCTTTCTTTTCCCCCCACTTCGGGCAGGCTAATAAAAATGTCGGCTAGATGTAGTGGTAGCGGCTTGCTGCCGCCCCTCTCCGTCCGTCCGCCCCGTCCCTCTCTCCGCGACCACCCTCTCTCTTTAGCACGCTCTTTCTCTCTCGCTCGCTCCCTCCTTCTCTCTCGCTCTCCAGCCCTCGCCGCGCCACCACTACGCCCAGATGCCGAGTCTCAGTGCTTCCCGTCGTTCGCACTCCTTTCCCTTCATCTCTATCGGCCCGTCCCTTTTGGTCCACGCGGCCCTCTGGGCGGCGGGTAGGGCGGGCGGGTAGGGCGGGCAGGGCTGGCACCATCACCACCACCACTGGCCCTCCCGGGGCGCCCGCTCACCCGTCACGTGGTCGACAAAAGTCCCCCCGCGAGTACCCGAGAGACCCGCGTCGCCCTCGCACTGATAAACAGAGGTACTCGATGATGCTGACGGCGGGGGCGCCCCGACCCGACCCGGCTGAGGCTGGGTCGCCTTTGACACGGGTCGCCAGTGCGTCCCCAGGGCGCCCCCAGGACCCCGACCATCACGCCTCAAAGCGACCTCCGCGAGGGAATTAGAACGTCGTTGGCACCTCTTTCTCTCCTTTTTTTATTTTTTTATTTTTTGCTGGCAGATTGGGCAGGGCCCGGCCCGGGCAGCCATCAAAGGAAAAACGTTCGATCGAGACGGGCCGCCGGGGACTTGAAGCCGACAAGGGCTGGGCCCCGGGCCCTTCTGGTGGCGAGGCACCGGACCGCTGCACCCTTCAGAGCTCTGGAGCTGCACCCGCCGCGCTGCGCTTAGCTGCGCTCTGGCCGCGCTGCACTCGGTGCGCCGGGGAGGCGGGCCGGCCCGTGCAACAGCGGTGGCTGCAGATTGCATAAGCTGCAGTCTGCTGCTGCTGCTGCGGCGGCCTCCCTCGGGGCCCCCGACCGCTCGGCCTTGTCTAGCCGGGCCGTGGCGAGCCGCGCCGGGCGGAGCGCGCCGCAGAGCGCGGAGGGACCCCGGGCACGGCCCCGTGACGCTAGGCAGACCCGGCGGACGCCCGTGCACTCGCGTTGCATAGGCGGCCGGTGCACTCTGCACTGTACTGCACTTGCACCGCCCGCCCGGCCCGCCCGACCGCCTCCTCGCCCCGCGGCCGCCCGGAGCAGCGGGCCGCAGCGAGCGCCCGGCCCCCGGCCCCACTGCGAGCACGCCGTCCAAGGCGTTCGGGCCGCAAATAGGTTTTGTTTCGCAGTGTCGCCTGCGTGCCGGGGCCGGGTCTGCGGGTCGGCTGGGGACGCCGCCGCCGGGGCGACCTTCGCATCGTGAACACGGCACTGTGCGTCCTGCCTAGACGGCGACGACGGCGAATAATGCCTGTTCTCGGAACAGAGTTTTATTTTTCCCTTTGAATGCCGCCGTGCCCGGGTAAGACGAGTGAGGACCAGGAAGTGGGCCGGGAGGGGGAGGGGATGGGGGCGGCGGGGGCGGCCGCCGCCGCTTTGTACGAGCCGCACAGCGCCGCGCGCGCGGGGCACCGGAGCAGCGCGGGGCAGGGCCGGGATCTGATAGGGATAGTCTCGTAGGCACGCCTAGCAACCGCCGGCGGGGCGGCGGGACCAGTCAGTGCGACAAGGAGGGACCCCGGCTGGGCGGCGCAGGCGTCTTGAAGGTCAGCGTGTCACACTAGCCCATAGCGGGGGGAGGGAGGGGGCTGCCTGTAAGCGAGACGAAGGGCTGCAGGCCGGCCACGACACGCACACCAACACATGGTGGCGATAACACGCACAGCGAATGCCTCGGCGGGGGCCGGCCAGAAAGCGGAGCCCAGAAACAAAACAGAGCATAATGCCTTTCAAAAATATAATAATAGTCGGGGTAAAAAGAGTACGTTACCAGGCTGATGTACTTTCGAGCGCACGACACACAACCGGCAGCAGCAGCAGCAGCACGGCCCAATGTTGATGAAATTTAAAACATGTACTCGTCCGGCGAAGTTGTTGCGGCAATGCCATTCCACGTCAGCAGAGCCCTTGTCACTAGGCGAGCACTCTCGGCCTAGGCCTCCTCAGCCCCGCGGCCCCGCGGCCCCACATGGGCCCCGCCAGCCCACCGCGCCGAGGGGACCGCCCCGCCCCACCACGCCCCGCCCCGCCCCGCCCCGAGGGTAGCACTGTACCAGGGCACTATCTGGGCGCTCCTGCACTCGTCACGCCACGATTACAGCTCGGTCGAGGGGCGGGGCGGGGCGGGGCGGGGCGCGGATGGCGAGGGTGCCGTCCTCGCCACCGCGCGGGGCCTCGGTGCGAGGCGCGCTCCAGAGGCCGGCTCCAGGGCCCTCGCGGCCCGCCACCTCCCCGCCGTGGACACGAGCCCCAGCCCGCACTCGCGCCGCACGTGGAGAGGACTGCACGATAAGAGGAGGCGCACTTCATAAAGACACCGTCATTTCAAGTGTCCATAGCCGAGGGGCGAAAACCAACACAACCTAGCAATAAGAGTTCAAACCGGTTCAAACTCGAAAATCGCAGAGTTTTCTTATTAGGATTAGGAAGGTTTCGCCTTC